ATAAAATATGTTAACAGTTTATCCTCCTAGGAAAACATAAAGGATGAAATAAATCAGAGATGAAGTAGAAGGGTCAAAAATTTATTTCGTTTCTCCTAAAGGAAACAACTCCATATTAAATAGCATATACACCTGAGGAACTTTCATCAAACCTGAACACATGTGCTGCTTCAAAGCTAACACAGAGGAGTTTGATTCAGGGTAATATGAAGTACACACCACCCAATCTCTCCGAGACAGCATGGGGAAAGATGAGAGAGGAGAGCTGAGCTACTGTCTATTTAAGTTTGTTGCCTGTTTTTTGTTTTTTTTTTTTGCGGTACGCGGGCCTCTCACTGCTGTGGCCTCTCCCGTTGCGGAGCACAGGCTCCGGACGCGCAGGCTCAGCGGCCACGGCTCACGGGCCCAGCCGCTCCGCGGCATGCGGGATCTTCCCGGACCGGGGCACGAACCCGTGACCCCTGCATCGGCAGGCGGACTCTCAACCACTGCGCCACCAGGGAAGCCCTGTTGCCTGTTTTTAAATTGGTTTGTTTGTCCTTTTAATGTTGATTTCCAGGAGTTCTTATATATCCTGGCTATGGATATATAAGATATGTGTACAATGAATATTCATCTGTGATATTGTGTGTATCAGTAGTATATTCCTTAAAAATACCGTGAGTAAAAGATTCCGTTCACAAATTGAACACACACTCCATTTATATGAAATTCTAGAACAGGCAAAGCTAAGGTGTGATGATAGACATCAAAACAATTTGCAGCAGTGGGGAGGGGGTGACTGGCAAGGGGCAGGAAAGAACTTTCTGGGGGCGGGGTGAGAATATCTTGTATCTTGATTGGCTGGCAACTACAAAGGAGTATACATTTGTCAAAATTCATTGAAATACCTACTTAAAATCTGTGCATTTTCTTACATGTAAATAAGACCTTAATTACTAAAAGACAAAAAAGTTAAGGTACAACTCTGACCCTATCAAAAAGTGATTTGCTTCTGGCTGTAGTGATAATATCAAAACCTTACAAACAGTATTTCATAATTACCTTCTAGTTAGTTACAAACACCCCCATCAATATCTACACCCCGACTCCGCACACACAGCCGCTAAAAGGTGAATTCTATCACAAAACACTTAGGGCCTAAAATAACTATCACTGTCAAGGTCAAAACTTTTACTTCTAGATATTTAACAGTGTTACATAGAAATAGTATTAAACAGCCAAGCAGTCTTAATTTCATTTTTTTATTGAAATAAGGAGAAAATAATGCTGAAACTATACAATGTCAAGACACAACATATGTGTAGACCAGCTGCTAAGAGAAGATAATACAATTTGCTCCCTAACTATTTCATAGGAATGTCTTTAAGATTAGTGAGATAACAGACCAGGTCCTTTTTAGGGGGATAACTACCTGCTGTGGGTAATTGGGGTACTTTAGGGCACAGTAAATCCATCAGGTCACTGGGGTACCATTACTGTACCAAAGCAAAATGCGAGATTTAAATGTTTATGTTCTGACAATCAAGTTTTGAAGTATTCAGAGTAGTGCTTTCTGAAGCATAATTTATAACTGAAATGCACTTCAACTTCTTTCAAAATAAACAGAAAGCTTTTAATCTGTGAGTTAAACAATAAAGCTCTTCTTTGTTCTTACATGTAAGAGTTTATCATCATACTAGGCACCCAAAGATAGAAAAATAAAGATGCAGTCACTGTGCACAAGAAGCTCACAATTTAGTGAGGAAAAACATACAAATAAATAATTTAAATGTAATATAACAAGTGCTATTTTAAAATCCTTAAGTACCTGGTACTGAGAAATACCTGCACAGGGTAACTAATTCAGAATGGGGTGGGGACTTGCAAGGTGGAGGGTCAGGTGCCAGAGAAGGCCTCTGGGAAACAGTGGGCGGACGGACCCTAGAAGGATATGGCAGTCGGCCGAAAGGGAAGGCCTGGGGGCTGGGCAGAGAGTGACCAGGGCTAGAACCAACAAATGCAAAGAAAGGCAGAAAGCCAAGGAAGCACAAGGCACAGCTGGAGTGTCGTCCCGTGCCAGGGAAGGACAGGGCAGGAGATGAAAATGGAGGCCGGTGGGGCAGACTGGAAAGAGCCTCACAGTAAGGAAGCAAATATATGCATCTGGAACTCTGGACGAGCCCTAAGAGACAAATGTGGCCATCACCCAAGGAGATCTGCAGGCTGCAAAGAGAAGACGATTACAGAAATCTTGATACCAGGTACAGGTGAAGAAGAGATGGGCAAAAGAGAATGGCAGGAGCAGCCAGGTATGCCAAATAAATTCCAACAGAAGGTGGAAATCCAAAGGGGTAAAGAGCAAGAGGGAGTAGCCCATGGGGGCAGGGATCTGTCAGATCAAGACCAAGGAAGACAGTCTGCGGCACTGGGATTCCGTCACCTGTGGGGTCTCAGGCGACCTCGGCAAGAGCGTTTTGTGTGAAATCATGGCCAACAATGGAGGAAGGGAAGTCCATGGGGGCTGTGTGTGGTTTTTAGTGAGTTTCCCGGTGAAGGGAAAACAGATGACATGCTGTAAGGGACGGGGGTTGAAAGATTGTTTCAAGTAGGAGTGAGCAAGAGAGTGAGAATGAGAGAAAGTGAGAAGGAGGGAGGGAGGGGGGGAGAGACTGTTATTATTTGTTTTTTCTTTTGGTAGTTTTGGTTTGGTTTCATTTTGAGAGTCTCCAGTGTTTAAAGACTAAGATGAAAAGGACAAAAAGCCTGGAACGTTGAACTTAAAATGGAGGTGGGAGGGGTGTTAAAAAGGTCCTTTTGATTTTTATTCCATGTATGTTAGTCCATTTTTTTTTTTGCGGCACGCGGGCCTCTCACTGTAGTGTGGCCTCTCCCGTTGTGGAGCAAAGGCTCCGGACGCGCAGGCTCAGCGGCCATGGCTCACGGGCCCAGCCGCTCCGCGGCATGTGGGATCTTCCCGGACCGGGGCACGAACCCGTGGTCCCCTGCATCGGCAGGCGGACTCTCAACCACTGCGCCACCAGGGAAGCCCAGGAGAAATTTTTAAAACCAGAAAATAACTGGTAAAGATACTACCTAGGAGAGAAGGATGGGACCCAGAAGTTATTAAGCAGGGTCTTGGGGGTTGAGGTGGGTGATTCAGAAGAACACCTCTTCCACTGAGAAAAAGCAGAGAGCCCTGGAGGTGGGTTTAGAAGCTGAAGAGACTGTTGACAATGGGAGGGAAGTTGAGCTAATTAATTTTCTCATTTTGGTGCCATGAGAACTTATTTCCATTGAATCAGGAGAGGAAGGTTTGTTTCTGGTTCCCTAAATATTATTTAAGGAAAAAAAGCTAATCTTTTATCCATATAAAATAAGCATAAAAGTGAGATTTAAATAACCATACGTCTGTTCGTTGAAAAACTGACTTAATACCTCCAAGACCTTGCTCCTTTCAACCCCTCTATCTCACCTACCTGTGAGAATTAGACAATGTCACAGCCCTCAAACCTATTCCACCACAACTAAGCTACTCACACTGTTACCTGTAGGGCCCCCGCCCAAGGCATAAGCAACACTCAGCACCCGGGCTTCTCGAGAGTCAGCTTCTCTGGCTCCCTGGCTGCCTCCGGGTGGGGTGAGCATTTTATTATCCGTGCTTGGTGGTCTTCTAGGCAGAGCACCCCCTTTCAGTATAAATTACTGGAAGTGAGGCGTTCATCTCAACTCACTTTCACTGAAGCCTCACACTAGGTCACCTGGAGGCACGCATGCAGCCTTCCCACCCGACTGGCTGTCCGGCCCACGGCCTTTGGCCTCTGCAAACTTCAGAGCGGAGCAGCCCAGTCACTTCTGGAACCTTCCCAGTCACGCTGGGAGAGGAGCATTTGCACAGGTAAAGAAAGATACCGACAGGGAATCTGTGCAAGGATATTTTCACAAACTCGATACGTGATGTGAACATATTTCACATATTTATCATTCTTAGATTTCTAAGAGATCACTTCTATAAATATGGGCTTTTTATGCCTCTCAAAATCTTTATCATATATCTAGACAAGGGCAGCAGCAAGCCGTCAGTCGTAAATGAACATCAAATAAAACACTTTTCTATAATGATATTATTCCTAAAGATATTAATGAGTACTTATTAAAAAAAATTTTAATGTAATGATAGACCTAAGAATATTAAGATAATGGAGTATAAATTCATTATGTATTCCTAAGAACCTATAAAAATAAAATGATTATTTTTAAGTGAAATAAGCAAAATGAATATCAGTGAGTATTACATACGACCATCTGAATAAATTTTTTATAGGGGTGGCTAGAGAGCTAAACAGAAATAGAAACACATACACACAATATAAAAAACATACAAGAAATATTACTTCAAGTACGTGTTTTAAAACGTTGTTTACAGCCACAGTGATCCTCTGCCCTAGGCTTACCATGACAGGGATGTGACAGATCTAAACGCTGTAACAGTGAGAGGTGCTCCTCTTCCAACCACAGAGAAATCAGGAAGCAGAAACAAGACAAGGTTCTGGTCTTTTCACCACAGCTACAGCTGCGTCTTCCAGAGTCGCTGGTGAGTGTCAAGCCCTCCCTGGACCCCACCGGCACACACGCAGCTGCGCCATTAGACCAGGCTGCACCCATGCCCGCCTCTTTCCATGGCAAGGACAAGAAAGGGGGAACCCCACCCGGAAGGCCCAGTGGCCATGGAAAGAAGAGACAGATGGCTCATGGTCTCCACAGGCCCTAGACGTGCGCTGAAGAAAACTCACGCCCTAACAGGCAGGCAGACAGGCAGACCAGACCCCTTTCTCCCTCTCTGCCCCCATCAGCCTAACTCTACACACATGCCCCAACTTCCAAAATGGACATTTCAGTTAAATATTAGTCACTGGAAAGCGGGGGTTTAAAATAAAGAAATTCACTTTGTAAAATGTTTACTCTTTTGTATGACTCTAGATTTTCCGATATGCTTGCTCGTACCAAAGAGGAAAACTTACTGTTTATGTGATCGATGTAGTAGACACCAATCTGAGGGTCAAACCCGGCTTCCCATCCCCACGGCAGCTCATCACCAACGCAGTCAGCAAACGACAAGGGCTTCGTTAGCCTGTAACAAACCAGAATAAAGGTACAGGTGATTCTTTCCATCTAACTGCGTATGTTTAAATCCAGCACCCTACCCACGTGCTAAGTGTCCAGGCTGCGTTTCCTTTTTCTTCTTGATTGTTTCTAGAGTTTGCACTACTGTGTCTGAAATCTTTAAAGAAAAAAAACAACAAGGCTGAAATGCAGAGATGAGTATCCAAAAAAGTAGGAATAAGTCATAATACCCTTTGGAAAGTTCACAGCTTAAGATTGGGAGACAAATCTGTACAGTAAATAAATAAGGCCATCTTAAATCAGGGAGAACGCCAAGCTGAGGGGTCAGGAGGGCTGGAATCTAGCTTGAGCTCTGCAGCTAAATAGCCATCTCAGTGAAAAGAAAAGTTTGTCCCAGCATTCAAGCACCAGCATCATGGGAATCATCACACCAGTACCTCTAAAACGAGATATGCATCAGGCTACACTAACTTCAGATTTGGATGCTCTTTTATGTATTAACTCGCCTGCAAGGTCCACAAAGAGCTCTCTTTGAAAGGAGAGACATCAGATCTTATTTTTATACTTATATTTTTATACCTGTACTTAACAGTCTCTCAACAAAATATTTAATGGAATCAAACACACAAAGTATTTCTATTATCAATGTGATCTCACCTTTTGAAACTGCTTTAAACTTTCTCTTTAAGCCTTAAAACTAATCGGGAAACTAGTTACCTAAGCGGAGTACAGGTTTCAGAGTTAATTATGGGTTGATTTTCTCTCTCACTTCCTTCATTTTCGCATCTGAGATTTTCCCTGGCTGTTAAAGCAGCTGCAGGCAGGCCGGCACCACAGACTGGTGACCGCCCTGCTGTAGGGTGGCCAACTTCAGGTGACATCTCTGCTAATTTAATGCACTGGCACCACCAGCACAGTTCCTACATATGAAATCACCTGGAGTCTCTGTGATCCATGCTAGTGAATATCAGTGATTTCACAGCACAACTGAAATACAGGTCATTCCCAGAATCACATCACTCATCAGAATAATGAACTGCGTCATGTACCCTTCAGAACGCTGGGAGAAAAACATGAAAAGGAGGGAAGCCCTTTCTTCCCAGGTGTGGCCTGCCAACAGCCCTCCTCCAAGGACGTAAAACACCAAGGGATGAAAGAAAGAAGTGTCTCATTTTCTCTCAACCTTCGCTAAGCGTGAAATTCGCTTCTGGAGACGGCTGCAGGGATCCTGGCTTTCACGAACACTGGCTGACTCAGTCACCACACTGATTCACTGTGAGACCTCCTGACTGGGCAGCTTTCTCTACCTCAGTTTCCTTCTCTTCATTTTAAGTGGTGATCACACCCCCTATCTTCTCCCTGCAATTTAACTACCTGCTAAGATTAATGGGAGGATGAAAAGGGATTAACTCAGGAAAGTGTCTAGGACATGGTTAAGCAGTCAATAAATGTTAGTGACTATGAATCCAAGCATCACACATGAATCCTCTCTTTCACTCTCCAGAGGAACCAAGTCTGGGAGCACAAGGTACAGCAGTGTTTCTCAAAGTCTAGTCCCCACAACCAACAGCGTCCACATCTGGGAACCGGTTAGAAACAAATCCTTGGGCCCTCTAGTATAGTATATGCCTACAGGATCAGAAACTCTAGGGCCCAGCAATGTATGTTTAATCAAGCTTTCCAGGTAATTCTAGAGAATCTGGCTCAGAAGTTAAGAACTTGAAATTTGAGATCCAAGGGACCTGGATTCAAATGCTTTTTCTGCCATCTTACAACGTGGGGCAGGTTATTAACCTGAAAAGCCCCTGTTTTCCAATCTATTATTTTTTAAAAAGGTAGGGACTGGGGGAGATCATGAAGCTTAAATGAGAACCAAACGGTGTAATGCCTGATAAGTGGAAAGCTTCCATATGCAGTAGATGAGTGAAATGAAACTTAGACATGTTAAGCAATGCATCCAAATATGGCAATCTGCCATATTCGCTTTGCAAACCTGGAGTCGATTTGAACTTAATCTGAGTCCGAAAACTGGCTCTTAGAATTATGCTCAAATCCCACCTTATATCATAAAAACTGGGCAGGAAAATTGAGTTTTCTTTTGACAAAGGAATTAGATACTATGTATATCAAAAAATCCCTGGGACTTCCCTGGTCGTGCAGTGGTTAAAGAATCTGCCTGCCAATGCAGGGAACATGGGTTCCATCCCCGGTCTGGGACGATCCCACATGCCGCAACTAAGCCCGTGCGCCACGACTACTGAGCCTGCGCTCTAGAGCCCATGAGCCACAACTGCTGAAGTCCGCGCAGCTAGAGCCCGTGCTCTGCAACAAGAGAAGCCACCGCAATGTGAAGCCCGCGCACCGCAACGAAGAGCAGCCCCCGCTCGCCGCAACTAGAGAAAGCCTGCGCGCAGCAATGAAGACCCAATGCAGCCAAAAATAAATAAATAAATTTATTTTTAAAAACCCTCCCCACACCATGGAAAGTGGCCTTGTCTTCATACTCTGTCTGTAAGACTGAGCTTCGACCACCTGATTAGACAAAGCCCCTTGCGTATCATTCTGCTCGACGATTCTCTTTCCTTAATCTCCTCTATCTCTGCTGTCTAAAAGGCACATGAACCCTAAAGAAATAAAAAAGGAGACATGGAAATGGTACGTATAAATGACAAAAGAGAGACATTACACAAGTTTTGTCCTGGCACCAAAGCAACATGTTTAAGCATGAGTATGATATGAATATACTTATTACTTTTAGAATTAGAAGTCACAAAAGTTTCAGAACATGCAGTATGATTACAAGTTATGGTAACTGGATTACACTTGGAAATAATCCATCTTTTCCTATTTATTGTTCAACAGATAATAAGCACTTTATTAACTGTCACTGTTCTAACACTAGAATTACATCTATAAGTGAACTCAGTTAAAAATTCAGACGTTTCCCGTATGGACACCAAGGGGGGGAAAGTGGCGAGATGAATTGGGAGATTGGGATTGACATGTATATACTAATATGTATAAAATAGATAACTAATAAGAACCTGCTGTATAAAACATAAAATAAAATTCAAAAATTAAAAAAAAAAAAATTCAGACGTTTCCATTCCTGGAATTTTAACGTAAAAGCTTCCTTGCAGTGTTACTGCAAAAAGCAGTTTAATACTGTATTTTCTGTAACTGGATAAATACAGATCTTTTCTCCACACCCTATCAATAAGTAAAACCATTAAATACATATTTATAAATGTCAAATTTTTAATTCTTATCCAAATTATAAAACATAAATAGAATAACATTCTCAGATACCAAACAAAATGAATCACTCAAATATACTGCTATCCTGATAAAGAAAACATATTACTATGATATACTAAGAAGTAAGATGAAACAAGAAGAAATAACAGATGTATTCCAAAATTAGACACAAACATGACTTAGAACAAATACGGTGAGCCGAAATGTTGATTAGCTTCTAAATTCCTTCCTCTTGTTTTGCACAAGGAACCTCTGAAACAGTCAGTCTTCCCTTGATGTTAAGGAAGTAAAAAATGGACGGAGTTTGTTGGTTCCCCACAAAGGAGCAACAGCATGCAGAAGCCCTGAAATTACGGACCGTCTTTATGCAAAATTCCAGAGATTACTCTTTGCTTAAAAAACAGTCTTCCTTTGCACCATGACTAATGTGAAGAAAATGGCAATTTACTGCAGCACTTTGCCACAGTTTACATACAAAATTTGAACTTTGCAAGGTATTTCCTCTCCTTGTGGGCATTATATCATTCTTTTATACAACGTGCCATTTAGTATTTATTGTCAGGCCACGGATCCCTGTCCTGTGTGACATGAGGTGCCACACACAGATGAATTTACTCTTCCCAATTACACAACGGTGAATACTGCTGTGTGTGCAAGCACACATCCAGAAACGATGACTTTGCGCTAACTGCAACCGAGTTTGTGCTTATTGCACTAAACGAAACGGCACTTGACAGAGAAAACCATTTTCAGGTTAATAAAACTCTTGCCACGGTTCCAGCCTCCCAAATGTACAGTTTAGCTTGAATGTTAAAGGTCTGAAGAGTTATTTTTCCTTCACAGCCTCTGCTGCTGCCGTGTTTTAACTGAAACTCAAGGCAGAGTTCGCATCGTCGACTAGGTCTCTGATCGCTACAGAATCGGCCCACACAAACCCGCCTGAATTGCTCCAAGAGAACGGGGAAGGAATTCAAGATGAGATTCACAATGTGAATTTTACAGGGAGGGTAAAATACCAGAAATCTCTCTATAGTTCTGAGAGAATTTTAATTTATAATGTTGCTGATTAGTCCCCTAAAAACAACTTCTTATCTGTTTCGATCACTATCCTAGGCAGGGAAACCAGCAACGCAAAGGTACAAAATGAGGGGAATGCCAGGGATGAGTAACAGAGGTAGCAGAAAGAAACCGGCTTTTAAGAATACAAACCTCTTCAGAGGAGGGTAACGCAGTTAGTTCTGGGTCTTTGGGGAAATTAGCTTAAATTCTTCTCAAAGGGTCACATTAGATAGGAGAGAACTGCCAGATGGGCAGGCCTGGACCTGGGGCAATGGGTCAGGCAGTAGACTGCTGCCCTGGGTTTGAACGGCTCATGCAGGGTTACTAGCTGGTAAGTGGCGTCTAACCGGGCTCATTTCTTTAGACTGAGTCCATCATGTCCTCTTGGACCTCCTTGTGCTCAGACAGGTCCCCTCTACGTGGGCTCTAGATCTGGTCTTCCTACAGTTTATACCCACTGGTGCCAAAGAGCATCAGTTTAATCCCTCTTCTACATGATGGGCTTTCAAATATTTAAACACAACCATCTTGCTTCCCAAGTCTGCTAGCCTGGAACCCGGATGCCCCATCCCCTCGCCGTTTCTCGTATCTCTCCTCCACTCAAAAGCCTGCCCATCTCCCGCCCTTAATCCCATCCGCTTCTCCCTGCTCTGCAACTTCACTCCATCCGTTAATCAAGGGTTAATCTCC